ACCTGGCCACACGTGCAGCTCTACTACCTACAGCCCCCGCCAGTGTGAGCCCCTCCCAGCAGACCCCATACCACACCACCACTGTGCCCCCCTCACTGACTCAGTCAGGACCCTGGGCCCAGTCCCTGTGTTGTTTTTATGTAACCATGACCTCTCCTGGCTTTCTCCTGTTTTCTTAACAATAGCAAATCATGCAGCAATGACTTCAGCACAGAGTGATTTCCTCATCAAATGAGCTGGAGGGAGGAGGGCAACTGGGCCTCAACTGAGTCACAGTGGGACCCAAGGTCCCTGGCACCTCCATCCTTCTCTCCTGCTTCAGAGGCTGCTACTGCAGCATGCTCATCATAGTGCAGGGCTGGGGAGAGCCTGCTGTCCCTGTACCAGAGTTGTGTCTGGTACACTTCGTTGCTAGGGAGGTGATAGACCAGAGCTTGCCCCTTTACACTCTGAGTGCACCTCCTGGTCAGTCAGAGTGTCTGGGCAGGAAAGCCAGAGGCTTCTCTGACAACTCCTCACCAGCAACTCCACAAAACACGGGCCACGCAAGACTGCCGGCTTGCAGGCCTCTGAGCCCTCCAGTTGGCGCTATGAAGGGTCCTCTGGACCTTAAGCGCTCCACACCAGGATCATGCTGCCAATAACGCTGCATCCTCAGCTTCCCTTGAGCTCCATGATTTGCAAACACAGGGCCAAGGTGGGTGCAGCCTGAGAAAACCCTCCCCCCACCCTGCGCGTTCAGTTTTGAGTGGTGCCACAGGTGGGATACAGGCGACAGGGGAGGGTGTTGCAGGCTGAAGAGTCAGTCTGCCGGATATCCCAGCCGTGGGAAGGAGACCCAGGTGTAATTCAGGAGAGGCAAGCTGGCAGCCACTGCAGGCTTTGCGATAAGATGCAGAGCTGGGGCTAGGGCTCCAGCCCAAAAGCTGTTCCTAGTGCCCAGGAGAGGGTGGAGATGGGCAGTCTCGGGCACTCTGAACAAGATTGGCTGCCTATGGAGCCAGGAGGTCTGAGCAGATCTACGTGCGGGAGGATAGGCCTGAGCTGGCCAGAGGATGGAGGGATCCGTGGGAAGAGGGTTGGTTGTAGGAGGAGGTCGGAGAAGGGCCCAGGAGGGGGCCCTGCGAAGGAGGGGGTTTGGAGAAATGCAAGCGCTTTTGGCCGCACCCTGAGTCCAGAGGCGAAGCAGCGGAGACAGCCACCAAAACTCGGATTTCGGGGCGTGAGGTATCACCTCTTGGAAGCCTGGATTGCTGAGGGCGCTGCCTGCTAAAGGTTTCTGTCGGTCGCCCAGGCTTCCGAGGGGCAAGCAGCAGCTCCGCCCTCACAGTGTAAAGGCCAATGAGGACTCGGTCCGCCTCCAGGAAATGCAAATTTAGGAGGGCGGCCTCTCCGACCCTTCTAGACCAATCAGGGCACGGTCCGCTAGACCCGCGTGCTCGCAGAATCGACAGATGTCGTGGGGCGGGTCTCCGGGAGATGCGGGCTCTGATTGGTTGCCTGCTCCGGCACTAGGACCGCCCTGCGAACTCTTTAAGACCTCCAGGGATAGAAACCAGGGGAAGTTAAGGAACTCTGGCCCTAGCCTGGCGTAGTAGCGCACACCTTGCTGAAGCAGACAGATGTTTTTGAGTTCGAGGCTAGCCTCGGCTACAAAGTGAGTTTATGGACAGCCGGGTGTGGGGAGGGGAACCTAACCCAGCCGGACGTGGTGACGCACGCCTTTAACACTGGCACCCAGGAGGCAGAGGTCGATGGATCTATGAACTCGAGGCCGGCCTGGTCTACAGAGCGAGTTCCAGGACATCCAGGACTACACAGAGAAACCTTGTCTCGAGAAAAAAATTTTAAAACAACCCATCACAGATTGGCGACAAAGGGAGAGCGGAGTGGCAGGGGGTCCAGAAAAAAAAGAAAACGGGGGGGCGGGGCTG